ACAATATACAAACTAAATTTTTTCCATGAATTGCACAATTCTATTCTTTCTTGAAATGATTTGTTACTGCATATGTAATTCTGCATATGTTAGTCTCATTTGTGCGTGGTAGAAAAATAATTATTTCATTTTTTATCAGGTAAATCTAGCAGATGATCTGAAAAGTGTGCGTGACAGTTTGCTTAGACTGCTGTCCAGCATCAAAAATTGTTCCATAACTTAACAAAAAATACAGGTAGAGCTTTGAAATTTTGCAGGCATGTTTATAATGATTCGAGATATCATATAAGCCAATAAAAATTTCGATAGTTGGATGATTTTTTGGGTACCATGTCGCCTTAAGAAGTGTATGAGCTGGTGGTTGTAATATTTGCTTAAATAATTTGATCTCAGTTTCCTCGAATAAATTTGAACCAGGGCCAAATGGCAGGGATAGCGTTAGAGCTGGCATCTTACTCTCCAAAGCTCCATGCCATACTAGCGTAAGGACTTTGATCCTCGACAGATTTGACGTGCACCAGCTTTTCAACACAGTAAGTTTTCAATGACACTAGGATTGAAACCCAAGACTCGAATGCCACGAATCGAGAACATGATCGTTCGGCAGTTGCGGCTGCTCAAAATAATAATCACTTCACTTCTAAAAACGAAATTTATGTAAGCAATCAGTTAATAGAATGCGAATACCGTATTCCATTAACATGTAATAATTAAGATAATAGAACCGAATACCGTACTTAAGATAACAGAATTCTTTTAATTAAAGTATACCGTGTAGGATTAATGGATATGTTATACGTCACCCACCCACCCACCCATACACACACACTATGGTGGCTTACAAAAGTAAGCATGACGCCCACATCACAAGGAATTTAAAATCATGTGTGTGAAGGATTACAATACAAACATCCATGCCTTCTCCGGGATTCGAACCCAGACCCTACGTCACCGCAGTAAAAAATTAAAATAAAACATCGCCAATTTAAAATTGTCGCCATCATTGTTATTATTGTTTTCGCGGCATTCGCGATGTCTTTTGATTTGACAAAATTGGTCGATGGTATAATACGTAAGTGCCTTCAATTACTTCTGAGTAAATAAACCTTATTTTTTTAAAGAAATTAATACTTACTTATTTTGATTAAAATCCTGTTTAAGTGCTCTGTTTGGCATCGGAAATTTAAAGCATGCCAAGATGGCGCTAAGAGCGTGGTTTCGAAACTCGTATCCGAGTAAACAGGAAATGATAGCGTCAGGCTTGAAGGGAAAGAAGGGAGCAGTTTACGAAGAAACAAGATTTAGAAAAATAAATTGAAATTATAAAAAGGACATGAAAAAAAGACAAAGAAAAATTTAAAAGTAACATATCATTTTGAAGGGACATTATTTTATGTTTATATTCCCAACATGTGGATATTCTCCTAGCATTATAGCTCAAGTACGATTTCCATACTTCGATATTCATACTTTCCATTAATCAAACCTCTCATACACCACTTAATCAATCATTTTTTACTTCTTGCTTCCAAATGATTAAAAAAGATTGTTAAATCTTCTGGTACTCATAGGTATAAAGAGGAGTCAAAAAGAATAAAATGGCCTTATTACCTCTCTTATATAGTAAGTAGAGTACCCAGAGATAAACGGAGCTATTGATCATTCGTTTTGTGTATAAATAGAATAGCTAACTTGGTAAACTTATCTCTACAGTAAATTAATAACAGATTTGCAGGTTTTAATGAAGTCCACATATTTTGTCACAATAAAAAGTGTTTCCTTTTTTGTTACTTTTAAATATCTTTTCAAATGCCTATGAGAATGGAGTAAGGAAGTTTCATCAGTTGATGTACTGATTATAGAGTCATGTTAGTCAAATGTCTAGTACAACAGCCTTTTAGATGTTAATAAGTTATTTTTTATCAATTGATTTAAAACAAATCGCTTTAGAAATACACTGGTGTGCAAAAATTAAGGACGAAGTCGAAAAATTAGCATATCAGCTGAACGAAGAGGCAGAGCGGACAGAAAGACCAATCAGGAGATTAAGTGAGGTGATGTACGGTAGCACATGCGCAGATATGCAGGTAGACGTAATGGGGGAGTGTCTGAGTAGTAAAGCATGTTGTCGGTGTAAGATTAGTATTTCTGGCAAAGAGATTGCACACCGTATAGCAGTTAAAATCACACCGAGTTGCTGCCTCAGCGAGAAATGGCGAATAATCAATCTGTTAGACGACATCTGGATGCTTTTACCCGAGGTCGAATCATTGGGAAGTTGGATGAAGGTCGCAGTGTAACAAGTGAGGCTGCAGAGTTCGGAATTGCTCACAGCATCGTTTCACGACTTTGGAGACAATTTCAAACTACAGGAACAGCTATCCGGGCGTTCAGTAGTGGTCGTCCACGAGGAACCACACCCGCAGATGACCGGTATATTGCCTTACAGGCCAGAAGAAACAGGCGGCAGACAGCGGGAGAAATCGCTAGACACACGACACAGGCGACTGGACGACCGATATCGCGTTTTACCGTGGCCAGAAGACTGCACGGTGTTGGTCTGTTTGCACGACGCCCTGTACGGTGTGTACCTCTAACGCCTGCCCATCGTAGAAGGCGTTCTCTGTGGTGCCGGGAATACCGGAATTAGAGAGACAATGAATGGAGACGAGTACTCTTTACAGATGAGAGCAGATTCAGTCTGAGTAGCGATTCTCATCGCATACTCATCTGGAGAGAGCGGGGAAGCCGCAATCATCCCTCGAACATCATTGAAAGGGACAGGTATGGAGGTGGCGGGGTTCTCGTTTGGGGAGGCATCATGCTTGGTAGTCGTACAGACCTTCACATCTTCGACGCAGGTTCAGTCAACGGGACCCGTTATTGTAACGAGATTCTTCTTCCATATGTGCGTCTTTTTAGAGGCGCTATGGGTCCGCAGTTCCTTTTCATGGACGACAATGCACCATGTCATCGCACAGTAGCTGCCGAACAGCTCTTAGAGAGTGAGGATATTGAACGTATGGATTCACCGGCTGGATCTCCGGATCTCAATCCCATCGAGCATGTATGGGATTTTCTAGGCAGACGCTTGGCAGTCGTACCTTACCACCAGTAACGATTCCGGAGCTTCGATTGGCGCTGCAAGACGAATGGGCAGCAATGCCTCAACAACTCATTGACACCCTGATTCTCATCTTGGGCAGACGCTGTGAAACCTGCCTAGCAGTCAGGGGAGATCATATCCCCTACTAAAGACCGAATATTTCTTGCTGGACACCCATCACAGGGATGATTCGGCCTTCAGTCGCATTGCGCTCCATGCTACTTTTTTAATAAAGCTTCTTTTTATCCCTCTGATTTCTCTTTTAGTAAGTGTTGCTTACATTACTCATGTCCTTACGTATTGAGGATCTTACGGTATTAAATGTGTTGATTTGGAATGCTTTTGTACAAAGTTATATTGAAAAACCGTCTCGTCCTTAATTTTTGCACACCAGTGTATATAAATATATAAATATTCGTAAAAATTAATCATGGAAATCAAATTTAATTATAACTGAGATCCGTTAATTTCTATAAACATGTAGCGATATCATCTATATAAGCCAGTAACAATCTCCGCACCATGGTGATCATTTTGGGGTAGTGGTTAAGTTACTCGGTTTCAGATCCAAAGGTCCCGGGCTCTGTCCTCCGGATAAGCGCGCTACGTCATTTGGTGACCCTAGCTGAACTAAGAAAAGCGAAACCTATACTGATCTGACGTGGCGCCATCTACCCGCAAAAAAGAGTAACCCAGGAATAAAAACTCGTCAGATTAACGTGACGCAACTCATCCAACACGAACAAAAATAAAAAACTGACCACTCCCATTAACAACTATATCCTTCTTTCGCCTAACCAACTCACTTATAGGAGAGTGTGTTGCGATATCATCTATATAAGCCAGTAACACAACCTCCGCACCATGGGGATCATTTTGATGTAGGGTTAAGTTACTCGGTTTCGGATCCAAAGATCCCGGGCACTGTCCTCCGGATAACCGCGTCACTTCAAACACATATTCTAATTCTTATGAGAACATATTTCTGATAACAGTTTAATACGATTAAATAACTTTCTAAAATTTAAGGAAAACATTTAACCAAGTTTCTATTATTTATTTTATAAAGAATGCCAGAATTGCTATTTTTAAAGATCCAATGTTACATTACCATGAATAAACAAAATCAAAGATTATCAAGCTTTGAAGCATTTTATATCACATTTATTACGCTGATATTCTATTTGAGTAGCCCTGTGGAAGTGTCGAAATATTTCGAAATAATTATCTCATCAGCTTCAGAGACACTTTTCATGGTTTAAATTTTGTAGCATATCGTTCTAAAATTTATAGTATATTTGCATGTGGGTGAAAACTGTGTAAAAGAACAAATTACTCGGATACTTAATGAATAAGTTTTTATTTTCCTGTTAAGGTAATTTTCTATTTCTTCTAAAGTAATTTTTCTATTATTCTTATTTTAGTGTTTTCTGTTGTTTTATTCTTCTATTTTTATTATTACTCGAATGTATTTTGCTTTTTATTGATTTTCTATTTATATTCTATTGCTTGTTTTTATTTCTAAAACAATATAGTCCTTTGTTAAAACTTTCCGTGAAAATTTTTACATAGAACAATTAAATATGCTATGATTTTAAATCGTAAAGTGGGATTCTAGGATACTTTTTATTAAATAAGTACAATTCTAATATAAATATGTATATACATATGACAGAATCCCAATATTAATAGGGAAAATAAAAAGCAATTTTCCATTTTTCTTTCTATATATGGTGTTAGAATATTATATATATATATTATATATATATATATATATATATTATATATATATATATATATATATATATTGTTTGTTACTATTTATTTATTAATTAAATTTAATTATTCCAATAAAATAGTATAAAAAAAGAAATCCCATTCTCAGAAATTAGGCCATCCCAGGTGTTATTCGAGCCCACGACCTTTGGATTAGAAATCCAACGCGCTATCCATTGCCCTACAAGGACACAACGAGCAAATTTCATTTTTAGATGTGGTGTTGGACTATTATTTTTGTTTGTTACTATTTATTCATATTTTAATTTAATTACTGAATGAATATTTGAAAAAAATTGTATTAACATCAAGAGAAACAAACTCCAAAAATGCTTTCGAGATGCTTCCACCAGTGCTGCCAAAAATAAAACATAGTGGGTGCTATTATTTTTCCTTGGCTATTATATTCCATGGTCAGATACACGATTATAATTCCAATGTATTTTATATCATTCCATTGTATCTTTCATTTTTAGTTCAGCAATTCAGTCAATCTTTTGGCATTTTTGTTTATTTTGCAGACAACACAGAAGACAAGTACACAGCACAAAGAACATTACATGATTCTGACTCTACAAGCCAAAAGAGTATACATTTCTTAGATGACTTGCAGCGCCATCTGTACATTTAATATTTAATTTACAACATATATATACTATTAAAACGTAACTGTGTATCTTGGACGTTCATTGTGCTGCTGTTGTGGCTGAGTTTAGATTGTTGACTGGACATGACTGCATTTGCGATCATTTCTTTCGTTTTAACCTGACTGACTTCCCTTTTTGTGTGTTTTTGGACAAGTCAGACACTGCTCATCTTGACGTGTGCTCTGCACAAGAGTTTGGACTGGATTGTAAGGAAATATTGGAGAGCGCGTTGCTTAATATCCTGATGGTCAATGGCATTTGATAAATAAAAATAATAATACAAACTCGTAATCATGAGTTTAGACCTCTTCGTTCTTAAACCGTAAGGTAGAGTCTGACACATATTAAATAAATTGTTTCTAACAATACTAATAAAAACGAGATTAAATTCCCTTAACTGGTTTGCCCGTTAAGTATGTATGGGCTACTAAAAGCTGCCTGCCACAGCTGTACGGGCAATGATATTTTTTCTTCCTCTCTTTGATTTAACCATATTTTTAATTCGTATAGTGAGATTATTAGTGCTAATATTTTTAAGAGATGCAGTTTGTCCAAGGTATTGAAATACTTCTAAAAAAACTCTATTTCTTTGTGGTAAAGGTGGACTTTTTTCATTAAAGGAAAGAATCCAGATTCTTGAAAATATTCCATAAAGAACAGGGATTGGGAAGGCAATGTGCAATTTGTTGTTTGAGAACAAATGTAAACGCGGAAAGATAATCCAAAATATAGCCAATATTATCTTCGTTCCCATTGCAATGTAATACTTAGTGTTACACCATGCTTTAAATTATATGCGCATACATATTTATGCACACACCCACAAAATTCTCAACCATTTGAAAAAAAAAGTACGGATATGAAATATTTTTGTAAGTCTGTGGGAGGAATTATTTCAAGATATGAGAAACATTCTTCGTAGCATGATGAGTGTATTTATAAAAATCAAACATTTAGAGAGTTTTGTGTTCCACAATTATAAAATAAGAAACAGGCTGGAAACTTTAAAATTGAGAATAATAGTAAAATATTTCCATTTTCTCATTATGTGTTAAGTATTATGTTTAGTTATACGTGATGGTTAAGGTGTGGACCTTGTCATTTAACAAATGCCTAGAAGTCTGTGGTGTATTGATATTGTTGCCACACACATTAGATGATTGTTTGTTAATGTCTCATTATGAAGATATACGAGAGCTATTTGTGACATACCTCTTAGATTGATTCACAGTCAATTAATACCGGAGCAGCTATTTATCCTCTAAACTTCCAACACCAATCTAATATAAGGATTCAAACATCTGCCATTGTACATGGAGAATTTTTAGTGATGCCAAACCTTGAACTCGGGACTCTATAAGTACAACGTCGTATACAGGTTTTCGACTATATTACCCCTCAGTTACAGTGGCCCTCACAAATAGCCTGGTTAAAGTAACGCATTTCTTTGAACGCTATGTCCACAACTACAATGCAATCTTCTAGAGTTTTAAATTTGTTTTAAACTCCACTAAGAGAGCTTTTTTTGTGATGAAATTGTGTCTGAACAGAATTTCTTCTTAAATGTATTTCTGAGATTTATTTCTGTCTAAAGATGATAAAGCAATAAAAAATAATTACAATTTTTGAAAATTTAATATGCAAAAGTTATAACTCCATTGAAATATGAGCTTACTAATGTAGAGAGGAACTTAATGTGAAATTTTAATGTTAATGAATAATAAATACATTAATTTTATCCGGCTGGATGGTATGGTTGATTTGTCACTAGCCTTCTGCACCTAAGGTTGCGGGCTCGACTCCGGCCCAAGTCGGTGAATTTCATGATGTAGAAAATCGACAGCGGCGATGTCGTATGATTATACAGCGTGTAAAAGATCACTAGAGTGTCTGTTTGGCTTGAGTGCTCTCGGTAAAATTAAACCCTAGTACAGTTTCCATGTCAGAGCTCAGGTGCCTCTCTCTAGAGAGGAAACTGTGTGTGAATGTGAGTGAGTGAATATTAACGTCGCACTATTCAGCTACACGAGGGCTTTTGGAGACGGACCTCGTAATCTTAAACCATGTTCAAGTGACGAGGATGACACCTGAGCTGACACCTCTCTCTCCTAACTACCACACCAACGGGAGGTTGTTTGAGCTTTCGACAGATTTAACGTGCATTGCTCCTCTACAAAGCGGGTCTTAAGTGGTACTGGGCTCGAACTCATGACATGCCAGCCACGATCCGATACCTTGACTACTAGGCTACCGTGGCCACAAACTGGGTATGAAAATTACCTGCAACACAATTGGTATCCGCAGATAGGGTGACGCGTTTAAAACAGATACCAGCTTCCGGAGAATGTACTAGGCCTTCAATGGTAAAAAACCAATCCACAGCCCATTAGAAATTTTAAAAAAATTTTTTACCTAGTTTTCTCACCCAAATTATAATTAAAACTAAGATTATAAGGACTATAAATAAATTTATCCTTTCGGTTTACATTAAGTAGTATCGCTTTTCTTCAAAGGGGTAGAATTTATGCATATTTTTAATAAGTTTACATATGCTTTAGAACATTTATATGCCCTAATATGCTTCACTCATTTTATTACTTGTATAAACAGGAGGGGGGGGGACAAATAAAAGTGTCCCGGACGAGTGGATATGATTGGATGTAAATGGGACATGCACATCAAGTGATCGAAACCGGTTCAGATAGTGCGGGCTGTGTTAGTTTGAGTTAATAAGTGACGGGAAAGATGGTACTTACATTAAAATTAGCAGATGCACCACAGTATCTATAGTTTTGTGATTGGTTGATTACTAAGATAACAATGAATAGCTTGGACATGGATCCTTTCTTTGTTTCACCTTAGTGGTTATATCAACTTCCCAAACGACAGGTTCTGGGCAGAGAAGTATCTTCATAACTTCCACAATACAACATTGCATGATCAGAAAATCGGTGTTTGGTGTGCAGTGTCGCATTATTGGTCTTAGTTGAGAGCAATAAGGCGGCTTGCAAACACTGCAGGCAGTAAATTCAAAGACTGTAAAGATTTCAGCAGACGGTAAATTCGGAGCGTTACATTTTCAACATTTTGAATCCATTTGTGACAGCATTAACCGAGGAGGAAAAGATCTACAGTTACTTCCAACAGGATGGTGCAACTCCCCATACTACCCACCGATAATTTACTCAATTTTCACTCCTGACAGAGTTGTTAGCAGAGGCTAGTCTGGTCTCGGCTTTAGATAGTCACCCAAGTTACATGTTTTGTCAGGGTGTGATTACTTTTTTTGTGGAACCATCAAGTCTAAGGTGTATCGCAACCTCCCCCCTCCTACGAAGATGATTATTTAAGCTTAAAAAAGTTGTCATATTGTTTTTTGTTAAGCTCACCTCCATCCCCATTTATTAAAAACAATCTGTCATTTTCCTACATAAATCTGTAGGAGGAAAAAGAGTAGAGTTACAGAATCCAATTTGGCAACCTTATAGAGTGAGAGCTATTTTAACGTCGCGTGCACTATAAAACAGTGCGAGAGTTATTGTCGATGGACCTCGTATTTTTGAGCCTCAGAAGTGAAGAGGATGACATCTGAAGTACTATACTGGACTGGAAATCTTTTACTTTGAAATAATTCGGGCGGGTTCATTTATTAAATATTATGCTGGATATATTTTTAATTTCCTTCAAACAAGCACTTCTTGGGTCCCCAATTTATAACATAACGACAAAATGATGTAAAATCACATTTCAAACACAAAGACAGAAGTAGAGAAATATATTGTGGCAGTATGTTAGTTAAAAAAAACCCAGCAAAATGACGAACTGAATTTTCTTGAGGATAAAATGCAAATAGCTTACATTATTTAATCTAGAGTATCAATTGTTGTCCTTAGGATCCTTAAGGAGAAGAATAATAATGACAAGAAACTCCCTTGAAATTTATTCAAGGCAAATGAGATGTGAAATTAAATTACGAATCATCTTACAACATCCACTTTCTCGTGTTTCTCTAATCTAAGTCATTAATTATTCATAAATGGGAAAAAAACCGTATCCGTCATTATGCAAAATAGAATGCAAATTTCTCTCGAGAATAAATTATTTCTAACTGAAAGGAGTTTTGAAAGTTGTCAAGGGGGGGGGGCTCTTCTTTCCAGAAAATAATGTTTGTGTTCCCTTTTTTCGTGTGTTATAATACTTCGTTAAGACTTAAGGTCTTTTGTATTTTCCGATTGTATTGACATAGTGGAGTATAGAATAGTATTTCCAAATTATTATTTATTTGAAATACGAATTGGGAATGTTCCAGTAATAAATATTAAGCTCTCTTCAGCAGAGAATTGTTTGCTCTTTTTTAATATATAAATTTTATTTCTAAACAAAAAAAAGTAATTTGTATCTAGTTTCTGGTAATTTGCTTTCATGTTGGCTTAAGAATTAATAGTTAGTTTGTATCGTTCCATTCTGAAGTATAATATTTAATTAAATTACACATTTTTCGAAATTAAACAATTAATTACTGATAAGCTTCTATTACTTTTCAA